AACTCAATTTTGTAATGTGATTTACGTATCAGAATTTTGTGCTAATATTGTTATAATCTTTGTTGAAATTTACTGCTAGGTTGAGTTGTTACCATTACTATACTACTACTTTGGTGTGTTGGTTGTTGGTCCCATTTTCTCACTATTCTTGTTACCATTACTATACGGCATGGTTCAATTATTGTTACCATGTCCATAGGAATGCTTATAATTTGAATGTCTGATGCTGTGAATACCAGGTTATCTCACGAAGCAAAGAAGGATGAAGCTGTAAAACATGCCCTTGCAGTTCGTGCTTCCGTAACTTCAGGAAATTATATTGCTTTCTTTAGACTGTACAAAACAGCTCCCAACTTAAGCACCTGCCTTATGGGTGAGTATTTTTAATTTGTAAATAACATGTTTCCTCTCTGGAGCATCGTGTTGGTAACTTGTAACGTATGATTTTTCTAATTTCCACAGATCTGTATGTTGAAAAGATGCGTTATAAGGCCGTGAGCTGCATGTGCCGCTCATATCGCCCCACTCTACCTGTTTCATACATTTCTCAGGTTCTTGGATTCGCAACTGAGCGAGACACAGATGGTGTGGAAGAGTGTTCAGAATGGTTGAAAGCACACGGCGCCACCATAATTACTGATAATAACGGAGATATGCTTGTTGAAACTAGAGTATGTTTCATGTCTCTCTATCCTCTATGAACTTTGAAGTGTTTCCTTCACCTGATTAATGAGAAATGTTTCATTTGCAGGTTTCATCATCTAAACTGTTTGTGCCAGAGCCAGAGGATGCTGTCGCTCATGGAGATGCCAATCTTGCTGTCAAAGATTTTTTCGCTCGAGCTACTTTATCATAGCCAGCGAATATGTCATTTTGCAAAGACTGTGATTAATTATTAATTAGTAAAACTAAAACTAAAAAAAAGGTTATAAAGGATATGACCTTTATAGAGACTTACATTGGTTGCTTTCTTACCATTCTTTCCCGGGGAAGAACTGGACTCACTATAGATGTATTGTAATTTAGTTCTCACATGAGATCATTGTAATAAAACCCCACTGCGCTCAATTTCTATTTCTTACACACCCCCTCCCCTCATTCTAATCTTATTTTTGGTTAAATAAGAACCCATAACTCATTCATAAATTTATTTATAATTTTGGACTTCTTTTCTTTCTAGTATTTTGTAGAGAGAGAGAGAGAGAGAATAAAGTGATACGGATAAATATTGATAATTTGATCTTATAATAACTGAGTATTAAAATACATAATAATTATAAAATAAAAGAAGTTACATGACTCTCTCAAGTTTTCAATAAAAGAAATTATAACGTAGCTTCAAATCACTATGATCTTTATTGATTTCTATATAACATGTAAGTTTTTCAATATACAAAAAATAATAATTATTTAAATTTGATTATATATCATAAAAATCAATTGGAAACATCATGATCTTGACCCACCAAATAATATTTTACATATATTAATATTTTTATTACTTATATTTTTTATAAATAGAAAATGAGGTATATCTAAATTTTAAAAAAGAGGGGGAAAGAGGAGCGGGGCATGGCTCTCCCCTGATCTAAAGGTCTGCCATTCTGTGTGAAAACAATTTTTCTTTCTTACATTCAAAATTACGTATATTTTGCCTTCATTCTTTTAAAATATTATATATTTTATCCCATAATTATATGTCATTATATCATTGTCACGTCATTAAGTTATGATAGCATTGCGTGTATTACAACAAAAACAACAGTCAAATAATTGAATGATTAAACTAATAATTCAAATATACATTATTTTTTATTATATATTTTATAGGTATTTTTGCAAATACTTTTGAGTATCATTAAACACTTTAATCATTTTTGGTATTCAAAATAATTAATTAGCACATTACATATTAGAGTTGACATTTAATGACCATTTAACTATCGATTAAGTGATAAATATTTTTAATTAATCTAATTAATTATACTTAAATGTTTTAATTGCGTAAAATTTAAAACCATTATGTTGCTTTTCAACATGGGCAAATCTTAATTACGTAAATACCCTTTATCTTCCAAAATATTAAGCCAATCCACCACCCACTAAAAAGTTTAGTATGTATTTTATAATTTGAGATTTTTTTAATTCAATAAAAAATATTTTAAATTCTGAAATGATTATCAACCCAGAAATATTTTACTTTTTAGATTTATTAATTAAAACTCAAAATTTTATGATTAATATACGTATATTTTAAAATAATTATTGATTCCTTCATTAATTATAATTATTTTAATTTTTTAATTAAACTAATTAACCATAATTGATTACCTGAATTGTATAAAAAGAAAATTGAATTATGTTAATTGAATTATGTTACATTATGATTTATTAATTGAATTAATATTGAAATAAAAGATTTTAATTTGCTGAAAAAATAAGTCAAAATTGGAAATTAATATATTTTGATTTTTAATTTTTGATTTTTGATTTTTAATTTTTAATCTAGCCAAATACCTTGTTTTTAATTTTTTAAATTAATACTACAACTTTTATAATTTACGTCATATATATATATATATATATATTCAAATAACCACATTACCTTTGAATTTGGACAATTTATTGCAAACTACTTGACTAAAACCTTAATTATGTTTAATTAATTACACTTAATTGCCTTAATAGCATAAATATTAAATAATCACTTTATTTTAGATTTGAAAATTTTATTATAAATAAATTTTCTCTTATTTTCAATTTTTTTAATAGAATATTCAAAAAGAAAATTAATATAGTTGATAAATCATAATTAATGAAAAATAATATGTTTTAATTTTTTAATTGATCATTTTTTCAAAGATATTTATTTTCTAGAAATTGCTTTAATTACTACTAAAAAGTTTCTAATTAATTAGGATGTATAATAAAAAATTAACTATTATATTTTTTTTTGGGTATGTGAACTATTATATATATATAATATAATATAAGGTGAGCATCAAAGTATTGTTATTCAATAATTCGTGATATATATTAAATTTTATAAATTCAATCATTAAATTAATTTTTTTTATTAAATTTAGTTTATAATTATTTTTGTAAAATTTACAATTTATTTGATACCTTATTATTTAAATTCAAATTAACTGACATGCAATGAGTGTCAACACTTTTTTAATTTGTTAATTTCAATACAATCAACTGTTTACAAATTTTAATCGATTAAAGTTGGAAAACATGAAGCGTAATTTACGTTGTGCTATACTTCAATCAATTAATTAGGTAACTCAGTTGATTGGAGCTGCCAAACATAAAACAATAACAGACAGTAAGTGTTAATTGGGATATTTCACTCGAACAACAAAATATGGAAATGAAATTCTACTAAATTATGTGTCTCTCCTTCCACCTCCCTTTGTATCAGTGTTACCACACTGCCTCTAAGCTTTTGGTAGAGAGATTATCTACTTCCTCTCTCTCCAGTTATAATTAATTAACTTTCTCATTAATCAATGCTTTCTTCAAATAAGATTCAAAAGTAATAAAAGTGATAATAAGAAACAATTTCTTCGGTTATGATCTACACCTAATAATACATTATATATATGCATTCTTTAAGTGTGTTTGTTTGGTAAGACATTTGATAAACTTATAAACTTATTTATAAATTGGTTTGATGAAATATTAACCCTCCTTAACTTATTATTAGACAATATAGTATTTGTAAAGTCATAAATGTCAATAAAATATCTACTTAAAATTTTTGTTAGAATGTTTTGTCTCATTTCATTAGAAATAGATTTGTGCCAAAGTTATTTACTTAAAAATTTTGTTGTTAGAATGTTTTGTCTCATTTCATTAGAAATATATTTGTGCTAAAGTTATCTACTTAAAATTTTTGTTTTTAGAATGTTGTTAGTTATTGAAGTGTGTTAAATATGTATTGTGAAATTTCGATGTTATTGATCCTTAATAATGATTTGAGTGATATTATATTATGATTTTGTGAAATGAAAGTGTCATCGAATAAAATATTGAATAAAGGACAAAAATCAAGCTTTAAATTTTATACAAGCATTTTGAATTTTATTGGAACTAGAACTAAACTTTTAAATTTTATAAGGACTATAATCAAATTTTAAAGAAAATAAGCCCTAAGCTTTAAAAAGTTTTAATAGCAATTTTTTTTTAAAAAAAATTGCCACCTAAAAGCCATATGAACAAAAAAAAAAAATGTCTATGGACAGTGTTTTGATGTGTAACTTTGTTAGTCACGTCAAATTGATTTTACATCATTAGACACTTAGGATAAAAAATAATAAGATTCACAAGCAATTGCAAGTGATAATAAACAAAGTTCTTCAATTTCAATAACATACGATACATGCACTCTTTGTTTCACTCATTAGGAAGTCGTTTGTTGATCCTCCTTAACATATTATTAATCAATATATATTGTGCTAGCTAAATGAGAAAAAAAAAATATATTTTTAATTTTTTAAATTTAAATTAAATTTATTTTTATCTCTCAAATTTAAAATAATTTTTTTAGTTCTTATAATGTTTAAAAATTTTATTTTAGTCCCTCAAATCACTAATAACATATTTAAAAGTGACAAATTGAAGTAGTAAGTAGATTTTTGAGATAATATATAACGGTTTTGCTAACAAAATTTGAGTATAAAAATTAAAATAATATTTTTAAAAATTACAGAAATTAAAAAGAATAATTGTAAATTTGAACGCCTAATATTAAGTTTATCTTAAATTTAAGAGACTAAAAACGTTAAAAAAAAATAACATAAAAATTATAAAACATAAATATTAATACAATGTAGAAGAAATATTAAGTTTCTTCTCAAGGAGCTTACTTTAGATTCTGAAATTATGGTTGAAAAAAATAAATAAATGTGTACGAGTCTTGAATGAAAAAATGTAGGACCTCAAGAGATGGATGTACGTAGCAAGAGGCAAGATTAGTTTAGATGCACCAAATATTAAATGAAAAAACTTTTTGTTGGTAACATATTCAATGAAAACATTTATCGAAACAGTTGAGTATAGACGAATGTCTGTCCTAATTAAGCAAATATTCAAGTAATTAGCGAAGTGAAGATTACATTTTCTTTTCTTTTGTTTCCGAAAACGCCATTACTGCACATGGCAAGAACAGAACAAATAGAATAGAGAAAGAACAAAAATAAAATAAAATAATAATAATAAAGGATGCACAAATTAAAATTGAGTAACAAGGCAAGGTATTTGGATGATGGAAGATGCATGATGCATGATGCATGATGCATGATGATCACCTCCTCTTGTTCTTGCTTCCGAGCAACAATGACAAGTAGAAGAGGAACCTGAAGAAGAATCCCCAAGCCACAGTGATCCAGAAGCAGTTCCACTTGGTCAAATCGGTAACGGCGTTCTGGTGCAACACATCGACGCCCGTGGTCAAACACGTGGAGGTGGTGATGTTGGTGCCCAGCGTGTTGCTCATGCTCTCCAAGAGCTTCACCTTCAGAGCCTCCGGCACCGAGGCGAGAGGCGTGCTGTCGAAGATCTGCACCCCTCTGACGAAGCACTTGGTGGTCTCATCGAACTCGTTCTGGAGAACAGCTTCGTAAGGGTACTTCACCAGCGACAAGTAGTGGAACCAAATCCAGTAATTCGGAATCCTATCCCTGTTCACGAAGAATCCGCTGAAGAGCAAGAAGTAGGCAAGAATGGCAACCACGATGGTGTAACCCAACATCACGTGAGGCACCACGCCCGAGAGAAACGTCACGAAAGAGTTCCCGGCCCAAAAGGAAGCGAATATTATGAGAAAGTAAAAGAAGAAGCTCCCGTCCAGGCCCACGGCCCAAAAGGTGGTTGCCGCAAACGCCAGCGAGAGAAACGCCAAGGAAGGCAACGCCACCAGCGCATGCGAGACCAAATACGACAATCTCCGATAGGCGTTGTAAGCAGTTTCCCTCATGAAAATGTAACGCTCTTGGAGAAACACGGGAAGCGCGTCGGCGGTGGTGTAAAAAGTGGTTGACATGGCAAACGCGTAGAATCCCAGCCTCTCTTGCACTCCTTTCGGAGAGTTGTCCAGTCGCCAAAACATGGTGGCCAGAATGAACCCTGTCACCATCACCGTGCCCAATCGAGTCCCGAACAGTTCAGGCATTCTACGAGAATTCATAAGCGACCGTTTCGACAGCGTCGCCATCTCAACCCAAAACGGATTCGCGAACGTCGGCACCATAGACGACGCGTTCGGGCCAGTATTGGTGGCGCCGGACACCAGTTTCCCTCTGGAAATACTAGCGCTTATTGCTTCCTTCAACGACAAGCCGCCGTTTCGTTCGGCGTCCGTCGTCGTTTCTTGGTTGTGCTTTGTCATGCTCTGCCACGACTTGTTGAACTCAACCAAGCTCTTCGTTCCGCCGGGGGAGCCTTCCAGTTCGCGAATGATGTCCAACGCGAACTCTGTTCGGTTATCGCTTTCTGGAATCGGATGACCGAACTCCGCGAAGAAAACCGGCAACTGCGTCGGCGAACCGCTGTAAACGGTTTGGCCGCGGGATAGGAAGATCATGCGGTCAAGAAGCCCTAGGATTCGGTAACTAGGTTGATGAATGGACATGATCACGATGCTTCCGCTCTGCGCGATTCTCTGAAGCACCTTCACAACCATGTAAGCGCTAGTGGAGTCGAGTCCGGAGGTTGGCTCGTCCAGGAAGAGTAGGATCGGGTCGTGGATTATGTCCGTGCCGATTGACACTCTCCGCCGCTCGCCTCCGGAGACTCCGCGGTGGCCTTCGTCGCCGATGACCGTCTTCGCCGCGTTCCGGAGCCCTAGCTGGTCGATGAGAGCCTGGACACGTGCTTTTTTCTTCGACTTGGAGAGCGTGCGCGGAAGTCGGAACTCCGCCGCGAACATGAGAGTCTCTTCCACGGTGAGCATTGGGAAGAGGAGGTCGTCTTGCATCACGTACGCGGAAATCACCTTCAGGAGACGCGACTCAAGCGCCTCGCCGTTCAGCGCCACTTTGCCTTTCAAACTTCCCTTGGCGATTCGGTTCGCCAGCGCGTCGATTAGCGTCGACTTCCCCGAACCGCTAGCGCCGAGGACCGCCATGATCTCGCCGTCGCGCGCCTCGCCGGAGATGTCGTTCAGCAGCGTCTTCGTCCGCGTGAACGTGCTCTCCTCCACGCCAGGAGTTCCCGCCACCGTCGCCGTCGCCGCGCCGCCGCGCCGGCGCTGAAAGATTGTGGAGAGACTTATTTTGCGGCGCACCTTGACGCTGTAGGTGAGGTTGCTGAAGGAGAGGACGAACGGCAACGAGCTAGGGTTGATTCGGGCGTCGTCGGTTATGTCGAGCGCGTGGTGCAGCGGCGTTTGGCTGCCGTCGCCGGTGGCTTCCTTCCGCGCGTCTCCAACGTGCTTGAGGAGCTGGCCGAGTGTGGGCATCTCGGCGGAGACAGAGCTGCGCGAGAGGTGGTCGAGTTCCATTAGGTCGAAATAGGGCGGCGGCGTGGCATTGGTGAGCGGTTGAGCATTCTCCGTGGCAATGCGAGATGACATTTTGTGTTGAGAGGGCAATTGTAAGTTAAGTTGAACAACTTGTGGTTGGGACAGAAGAAACGGGTAATTTAAAAGTTGGAGGAGAAGAAGAAGGTACTGATTTGGTTGTTAATTTAAAAGTGGGTTGAAGTTGGGATATGAATGGCATGTGTATATATATATTGTTATTTACAGAGGTATTTAATTTACGGTTTTGACTAATGAGTTATAGGTGTTATGTGATGAGGTGACCTAATTTATGAATTGCCTAAAGGTTTATGTTTCCCTGGTTCAGGGAAGGGTGGCTGTGGTACATTCATCATTCATGACACATGGCCTCGTAGGTCCATTTTTACTTGGCTGTGTATCAAATTCATGGGAGTTAGGTGGGGCGTTCATCTACTGCGCCCTGGGCATTGCCTATTGCCTTGCTCACACAATGCTATATAGTATTTCGGTCCAATACTATACCATCAACAATTAATTAATACTATATAGTTTCTTCTAGAATTATTTACTGTTACTCTATTCTTTCTTTCGCCAAATTCCACTATACCTATTCCCTCAACCTCACCACCACACCTTTTCTACCTGTCTTTAATTAGTTACCTTTATAAACATTCATATATATATAAATTATCTCTATTGTTTGTTTTTCTTTTTATACATTACATTCAAAAACGATCCAAACATTTTTTTTATCTAAAATTTTTAAGTTTTGTTTTAACTTTTAAAAAATGTCATATTTTGGACTTCTAATTTTAAAATGTAACATTTTTAGTCTTTAAAATTATTTATACAGTATTTTATAATAAATGATAGTATAAAAATAAATTAAATGATAAATATACTATACTTTTTTATATTAGTTAACATTTTATATATTTTTTTAAACTGAAGTGTTTTTTAAACAAAACTTAAGGAATAATCTTTTGAAATATAGAGAATTATATTTTTTTTTATTGTAGTAGAACGTGTTATTTTTTTTAATTAAATCTTATATCCATTTTTATATTATAAATATTCATATCTTAAAATATTTATGTATAAAAGTTTGTATTTCTCGTTTCGCTTGTAATCAATGAAATGTCAGACTTGCTATGTTTATTAATTATGTGTTTTTCAGTTTATTAATTATGTGTTTTTCTAACTAGTAGTACTATTTATCAAGTGAAAATTTCCAACTAAGTAGTAGTACTATTTATCAAGTCAAAAATTATTTTGTAATATTTATTTTCTAATTTCATAAATAATTTATAATAATTACTGGAAACTAATAACTAATATATATAAATTTCGTAATATCAAAGTCCACGTATTTTAATGTTAATATGATGAATAATTTTTTATTATTATTCAATTTAATAAAAATGACATAAATATTAAAAATAATATAAATTTATAATTAAATTATGGGTCAAGAAAATTCACCTATAATATAGTTAATATAATGCATGGCTTTTAAAGAGTCTATAATAATGTATTTCATCAAATTAAGAGAACATGTTGTGAATGAGATATTTTAGTCTAAATTCTAAAAGTAATTAATACTTCAAACATTATAAATTAAATTATATATAAAAGAACAAACAATTATTCTAAATTGAGTCTTATAAATAAAACAAAACAATTATTCTAAATTGAATTTTATGAGTAAAACAAAATAATTATTCTAAATTAAGTCTTATAAATAAAACAAAGTTAGTATAAAAAATACAATTGGTCAAGTACAAAGGCTAGGCAAATAGTTATATCTTCAAATCCTATTTCTCAATCGGATTAATATTTAATTAAATATAGTTTATTTTTTTATTTATGAAATATAATTTTAATTAATATGTATATATATAGTAATTTAATTTTTAAAATACAACCTTTTGAACCCTAAGTCGATGTTTATATATAATTTCATAATTAAAATATGTCACATATATTTATATAACTATATATTTTAACTTTATAATAATTAAGTAACTACAAAATAATTAATTTTAATTTATTATTCTTTGGCAAGTCTTTGGAAAGTATATATATATATATATAGGGCTATTAAATATGTTAAATTAATTTTATTAAAAAGTAATTAATGAAGAATATCGTCATTAATGTTTTTGAAGTGAATTTTACTTATATTAATAAATATAAGTTAACTTAGCGTGAAGGTAAGCAACTAAACCACTATTTTAATTACGAGGGTAGTTTATTTTCCTTGGACATGCATGCATAATTGGCATGAAGTCTGCTTATTTTTTGGTTGCAAACAAAAAATAAAACAAACCTCACGCTCTCTCTAGAAAGGGTAAGGAAGCCAAACCTCTCAATCGTATTTAATACGGAGCTCAACATTCTTGTTTCATCACATTGATTTTTTATTTTTCCAACTATTTATTATTATTTTATATTATTGTAAGAAAAATAAGGAGAGAAAATGTGAAGTAAAATGAGTGATAATGAAAAGAAAAAAAAATGTTATAGTAATTTATTATATAATAAAAGTATAGGTGATGCAGAAACTTTACACGGTCGTTTAATAAAAAAATTATTATTTGTATTAGGTCATTAACATTAAAAATAATAAATAAATAAATAATCAAACAGTCATTTTTAACTAAAAAATAATGTAAAACTATTTTTAAATGTGAGTAATGACCATTAAATTCTATATAATAAATAAACAACTCATCTCTACAAGTGTTCTGTTCAAATGGAGTTCCCACTGATTCGGTTAGGATCAGCAATGCATTTTAATTACTTATAGGAATTTACGTGTGAATTCGTAAATGAGGGTGCGTATTTGCACTAAACTTCTTTGTGGAACACCTTTTTTGTACTGTTTTTTCAAATTAGCAAAAACACAATTTTTTTTGAAGGAAAGCAAAAACACAATTTAATAATCTAGAAGTTGTAGTCCCTAAAAATAATATTATAATTTAATTATTTTTCATAAATAAAAATCTAATGTGAGCACATTATTAGTACACAAATCTATCCTGTCAATTAATTAAAAATACATGTTAATTATTTCAATAATCTTATAAAACTTATAATTGATAACTTTTTTAATAAAAAGTATATAACTTCTTCTCACTTATAAATTCTTAGAGAGATAAAGAGGTATACTTAGTTGCATCCTCGTGTTTTAGGTGAAGAATATTAAATCTGGTTATTAATTAAAGAGTGTAAATATCGAATTACTTAATATACTACCTTTTATTCTAAAAAAATTTATAACTAAATAACAATATAAGTTTTTCTACTGTTCATTAATTTTTAATGAAGTTCATAATATAGTGTTGACAATTTGAGACATATATTAGGATGGTTCGACACGTATTAAAGTATAGGACAAAGAGAATAACACATAATAAATGTTAAAGTTACTATACAACTTATTATTTTGTATATTGTTTGGTAAAATTATTACAATATCTTTTTAAATATTAGTTATCATAATAAATTATTTATTTTAATGAAATGATAGGGGCTAGAATTGTAATAACAACAATAACAATATTAGTGATACAGAGAGGATGATGATGGGTTGTGATTATAGTAATGGTTGGTTGATAATAATAGTAGACGACAACAATGATAGTGTTAGACGTCAATAGTAAGGGTTAGAGTGTTATTAGTACAACACCATGATAGTGTAGTAAGTGTTTTTATACTTGAGACAAAAAATTGTATCATAATTTATTGAGTAACAAAAAATTTAACTTTTGTTATATTTCTTTTAATTTTTTTTGTTGTATCTTATGACTCTTTCATAAATCAAACACAAAATAATTATATTTATCCTGTTCAATACCATAAATTTTAGCAGATCAAACAAAATGAATCCTTATAGCAATATGTAGAGATTAGTGTAGAAGATCGATATATTTGTGTGAAACATTTGTGTGTACATATATATATATATATTGTTATTTTAAATGACAGATGCACAGATAGATAACCTGAAACATTGAAAAAACTCGTTAGATAAATTCTCTTTGAGACATGTGATGACACTGACCTTAAAAATTTATCTACGATTACATCCAAGTCTCTTAGGATACAATAAGGTCGTCTCAACAATGTTGAGAAACAAAATTGATAATTAAATTTCGTAGAGAATCCAAAAGAAAAAACAAAGGAAGTCAAAGTGTTTTTAAACATGTAAAAGAGTAAGACAGAAATCTCTATTTATAAAGTTGGAGAGTTTATGTCAAACCCGTAAACATACAAAATCTTAAGGAGAAAATCTGTCTAAGTTTATCCAAAAGCAACTATTACAAAAATTGATAAAATAGATAGGATTTTAAAAATCGGGTCAACATTTAAAATGAAATATTAAAATGGTCATATTCAGGATAAGTTTTTCTCAATTAAATAAAATAATTTAAAGTAATAAAAAATAAAAATATTTTTTAATCCCATTTTTGCACATACAAGGAGAATAAATTAGCATATTTGCACTACAATAAGTTTATGAGACTCATTTTCACGAGCGCAAGTCCAACACTTATTACTTGTTTCTTTTAAAAGTGTAACATTTTGATATGTAAAGTCACAAGTCTTACAAGGAGAAATAATGTGAGACTTCTTTTGAAATACACATATAAGTAATATATATGAGGTAAAAAAAATATAAAAATAAATATATATTTAACAAGAGTAAAAATGTATTTTATATTAATCTTTATTTTCTAAAAGTTTAAATAATTTCTAAAAACAAACACTTCCCTTCACTTTTATTCTACTTCTCTTATATTAAACAATTTTTTTTTCTCTCTACTTTTCTTCTCTTTTTTCTATTTCTTTATTTTTTACAAAACACATGAGTGAACCATCATTCTCGCCGGGTCTACACGAAAAAGAAACAGAATTGAACACTAATCGATTAGCATAGAAACAAATCACTTTCATGGTGTCTAATTCACAGATAGGAGGCCCGAGACCTCAATTGGGTTATCACACATTGTTTATTTATTAATTTCTTGCATCTATAAAGACAATTATGTTGTTACATGCGCAGTGATGTTTATGTATATGTATATATCTATTTGCATGGAACAAAACAATCATTACCATCCTTATTAACAATGGGTCAGTAATTGATCAATTATATTTTTGTATGAATCAGATACTAATTTAAAAAAAAAAAGATTAAAGTGAAT